TGTTGTAGTTCCCTCTGCTGGGAAATGGAATGAACGGATTCAGTGACGCCACGAGGCGAGTGTCCCCACGGGCGGGGGCAGCGAGCAATGCTGTGCTGGAGCTGCAGATCTCCAGTGCAGCTCGAACTGCCCCAGCACACCCACACACCCGGGGACTGGCACAGAAATAAGACCAACGGCACGTTCCTCGTGCCCGTCTCCAGTGGCCGTGAAGGACTGTCCCATCAGGGTCACTGCTGTCCCCAGTGACCCTTCAGCAAGGAGATCCCGTTGCATTTGGCACAAAGCCAAACCCTAAGTAAACGACGTGCAAAATTAATCCGCATTTGTGACCATTATTGTTATTTGCTGCTGTCATGAGGTGCTCGGGCTTTTGTTCACACGGCACTTAAAGACCCGTCAAATCCTGACACGTGCCAGAGCGCCTGAAGACGCGCGTGGGATGCTCACCATGTGCAGATCATCCCCGGCCGAGCGGGAGCAGCTTTGTTCCTGTTGCATGGTCGGTAGGTTTGGGGATGCAGGGACCCTTGAGAGGAGACAGGATGGGGGCACCCACTACTGATACAGCCTTGACCTGACCTCGCTAACTGCCAGCGACCGCATCTCTCACGTCCTCCTGCCGATCAACACACGTCAACCTTTCAGAAATACATCTTTAAGTGTCTCCACAAGCTGCAAGAGACTAAACCACACCTGGGCTGAGAGGAGGGGCTTACTGTGGAGGGTCACCGACAGCCTGAGGAATTTCCCATCAAAATCACCACCAGTTTTTAAGGTTCCCTAACAAGCTTGCCTCCAAATGAATTTCAATACCTTTGGAACAATAACTCACAGGATTTAAGAGTTTTGATAAACAAAGATATAACATATCAGAAAACATGGGAAGGATCTTACAATATTAACAAGATTAAGAGCATGAAACGTCCACGTCTAAAGATACTTACAGACATGCAGAGATGCCATTTCCCATTACCATTGTCAAATTACTATTTTTGTGCGCAAGAAATGTCATAAATCTTTGGCAAAATGCATTGATTTATTTTTTAAAAGCTTAGAAATCATTTATCATGAAAACAAATGTCCTTATGGACATCTGCATTTCCTGGCAGGCTTTGATCACCTCTCACGAGTGGTGCGAAGGCGAGGACAGCAGCGAGCCCGAGCCCCAGCTCCTGCCCGTGGGGACACTCCAGCAGTGCCTGCCCAGGCAGGGTGAAGGGCTGAGGTGTGCCCAGGAGCTCTCTTGGGAAGAGCATCCTCTGGCTGTGCTGAGCAAAATACCCAAAGCCCATCTGACTGGCCAGCACTGCTCCACTCTTACATGACAATCCCTCTAAAAATCCTCATTCTGGCCTCACCATATCAACAGCAAACCCTGATATTCGTGGTTGCAGTGAGCTGGTGTGGACTCCTTGGTGTAAGCGAACTGGTACCCAGTCTGGCCCTGAGAAACAACAGACACGGAGACAACCACAAGACACTGACTAAAACCTGGTGTCCTTTATTTAAAAACCAAAGATTTGCTTCATTTAAACTTTCTTTTCTTCATAGATGTCTTGGTACTTATAAAAGATGACAAGACAACTATAATCTGGAAAGGTATTGCACCACTGAAATGATCTAGATCTGCTGTTAAAGGCAGCAGCCTTAAGTTTGGGGTTTTCCATTTCTGGAGAGCAGTCTAGCAGCCAATCTGGTCTCCAAAAGAAGAAAAGCAATGCTGGTCTGCCCTGCAGGAGCATCCAACGGGTTGTGAAGCTGGCCAAGTGGGTTTTAAAAATACCAAGTTACCCCAAACAAGATACCAAAATAAAAATGCACAAACATACAGAGAACCGTAATTTTAGCACAAACATGCAAAAGCTAAATCCAGAAGGCACACAGCTCCCACGGCTTTTGGGCAGTCCCCGCAGCATTTCTCCCCCCATTAAAATAACAGCTCCACTACTCAGACCATGCTGCTCCTGGTCTTAAAGCTCCCTTGCTCTCAGGAGCCTGTGGCAGCAGCTCTCCCCTGCCCTTCTGGCCGCCCGCTCTCACTCCGCACCCTGGAGCACCCAGGGCCGGAGCAAACCTCCCTCTCCCCAGGCGTCCACAGGGACCGGGCTGACGCAGGCAGGTTTTGCAGCGTTTTATCAGTTTGAGGTGTGAAAACTTCATGCTGCCCATCCCTGCTGCAAACAGAGAGGTGCCAGTGCCCGCGCTGGGCCCGGTGGTAGCACAGCGCGGCCAGAGCAGGACAACCACGTGCTCCGCGTCCGCTGTGCCAGCACCACAGGCTCTGCCGGGGACTGCAGGGAGGGCTCGCGCCTGCCCTGGTCCTCGGGTCCTCGTGCCAACAGCGAGGAACTGCTGCCTGTTCCACAGGCAACGTGGGTATGGGATCCCTGTGCGCCCACAAGGTGTTACAGCGCTACGCTAATGAAGTTCCTGTAATTATCGCATGTTCAGATCTTTCTGATACTCATCATCCTGAGAAATTTTTGGCTGAACTGCTAACTGTGGCTTCTTTACATACATTTTACACTCATCTTATTTACACTCAGTTTCAAAATGAAAAGACATCTACTTCCCTTTCATTTAATACAATCATATTCAGTAGCTCCAGCTCCAAAATAAAGATCCCAGATCTGTAACGTCGTTTCTAATTTATATTGAAAGACTACTTTGCAATATGAAATTGCGTGACTGGTTTGCAGTAGATACAATGCAGCAAACTGGTTTCTAAATATAGACAGAGGTTAAGTTTCTTCTTATAACAATGAAAGAATAATAGAAGCATTCATGATAATGAAGATTTGTATAATTAAAAGAATCAAATCGTCAAGAAGCCTGGAATGAAAGTTGTGGGATGTATTAACATATAACGTAACCTGAAGCAACTGCTCTGCCAAGCTGTTTTGGATTTACACTGCTAATTAAAAAGCAGAGTTCCTACTCACACCGCTGCGTACCGACTGGCCTGTAGCGCCCGTCACGCACAGGGCCCTACCCCTGGAAATTATGCCCCAACAGCCGACACCCACCAGAGCGTTGTAACACCTTCACCGAGGCAGGCGTGGAGTGGAGTGGCACTGCATGAGAAAGGCATGGCAGCGTTTGGAATGACTGCACGCACCGAGAACTAAGTAATTCTGTGACACAGCTGAAGGGAAATTTATTTAAAGCTCTCACATTATAGGCCAGACAACACCACTGAAGCGTCTCAACTTCTGATGCTCAAGTATCTCTCTGCATTTTAAAAGCTGTAGATTCCATATCTCTTCTTGGAAGCTTCAGTGGAGGAATTTTTGGTAAAATCTCTTTTGCATAAAGTGTTTTATGAAGTCCAGCTTCTCGAAGAGCTAGCTCAACACGAAGTCTAGGGTCAGAAATGATCTGTTAAAATAAACCAAGCAACGATAAATAGACACAAAACCATACTTCCCTCACCCACACAGGGTATCTTATACAGTATCTGTGGATGTATACATTAAAAAAGTTTCAAAAAAGGCAGAGAATTTTAGTTGTAAAATAAAGCCTTCGAAAGCAGAGAAACTCTACAGTGAACAAGCCTGACCTCACTGCACACATCTTGACATTATCCTTCTGAATGTTAATGATCACAAAGCGTTTTACCAAAAGAGCCCCGGCTGCCACTGCTCAGCAAAAATCCCAGGGCAGATGAGAAACGTGGTGACCTGAGTTCAGGCTGCTCACTGAAGAGCTGCTGACTTCTCCAGCGTTCCCCGTGGCAGAGCCCTGCTTCCAGCACCAGCCTGCTCATCCCCTGCTCTTGGTTTCTAGGGGATGTCGGTGCCTCCAACACAGTCATGATTTTTCTCAGGGCATTGCTTTGTGACTGCAAGGCAGCAGCACTTCATTTTACATAACAACAATTAGTGCCCAGGGAAACGACTTCTAAAATAGGTCAGAAGGTTACTGGACAAGATTTGCAAGCCTCTTTCAAAGCCCTCTCCCACAGGCTCCAGTGGGGGACCCCTGCAAGCACAGGGGTCAGTGCAGCATCACCCGCCACAGAGCCTGCGCCTGCTGGGACAGAGCGTGCTCGCGGGCTCAGCGGGAATCATGTGCTGCAGCCTGAGCAGCACCAAAGCCTGTTTGGAGTTGAAATTATCCTGAGAATTCAGGCATCAATCCCGCATACACATGTTCAGAGCATTTTAGGCTAAGGGTTTTCAGAACACCTCATCCATAGGTCAGATTTGGGTAGGTTTTACTAGCCAAACGAAAACCTACCGCTCTTATACCACATCTCTCTCTTACCGAACTGAGAAGCTTTACAGTGTCTTAAAACAGAAAATGCTGGGCAAGCTATGGTATAGATATCATTAAATTTCAGCTTATTCAGAGCTAAAAGAAAGCTTTTATGCCACAGAATTATATCACAGCACTTCTCTTTGCACAAACATAATTTTTAAATTCCACAGCGGGAATAATTTCAAATGCATAGACTGAGCATATGGGGAACAGTGAGGCAATCAAAATATCTTCCCCTATGTCGCTTAATTACATTTGAAATGGAGCTAGCACTGTCCTCAGCAATCCCAGTGACCTGAAAACAGGAGTATAGTCACTTCAGTTTCCTGCTTCCTTTACTCCTAACTGGTTTCTTTTCCTTTAGCCCTTGCATATCCCATCCCAACTGTTCCTCAATCTAGCAATAGCATAGAGATAGTCAAGACGCTATTTTTCAGCTTATGAAGAGATCTACGTAGTGCGTAATCTTACAGGAGAAAAGCATACTCCATAATCAAGTTACCTATAACACAGCTCTTTTGAATCCTGTCAGGAGTATTACACTATGTCCATTCACTTCCTACACCCAGCATAAAGCTAACTGGAGCGGGTGGAAAGGAGACACTCTGAAGTAAATTCATAAACACATAAAAAGGGTGGGATCTGAAACGAAGAAGTAGCAGATAGATCAGTTAAAACAGGGAGCAAACAGAGGAAGTGCCCAGTGCCCCGTTTGGCCCAGCAGCCTCCCTGCAGCAGCTGCAGCGGGAGACGCTGCCCAGCGTGAGCCCAGGGCTCCTGTGCCTTGTGCTCCCCTCGCGGCATGCTCCTCCTGCACCTGCACGGGGTCGGAGACCTTGTCCCACCTAGGACTCCTAGTCGTGTTATTTGTACTCGCATTAGATGCTGTATTCTGCTGTTAACATTGCTATTTAGGATATACTGTTAACATCAGCGTCATGTATCTCTATTAAGATGCATATTTATACACGAAGCGATGCAGTCTGACTGCAGGCAGTTACCTGCTGTTCACTGTACGTGTGCAGCTTGAACAGTGGCTTCTGAAGATCAAACTCTTCTTTGGTCCCAACGCCCATTCGAGCTTTAGATGCCACCGTATCGGCCACTACTCTAGCTGGATCTAATTTTGCAACGACAGCAACCTAAAATACATGATACGAAAATAATAATTACTCTATCTATGCAGACCTAAGGTGAGAAAAGGTTCTTTTCAATAACACGATCATTTGCCTGGTTTAAAATCTTCAGAAGTTGCCTTAAACCATCTGGTATCTATATATAAAAGCTGTAAAGCTTAAAACATGAATCCAGAGTAAAATTGCTCTAGTGGAGAATAATAATCAGGGAGATTTTTCTCCTGTTTCCCAATGGAGACAATTTAACTAGTTGGATTTAACACAGCACTGTGCATGTCTGGGACTGCTGTGAAGCGGAGAACCGCCTGCTACGTGGGCAGGCTCAACACAGAATAACCTGCCTATTGTGAGCACCAGTTGCAAGCCCTCAAAAACATAAACGTGAAAGCTGGACGGCATTTCCATTAAGAGAGAGCTTATATTGCTACCTCATCACACCCTGGTAGGGAATAGGCTTATGGTAGGCTTAGGCTACCAGCAAACAGCCCTTCCCGAGCAGGGGCACTGCAACAAGGGTGGCGAGGACGCTGCGAGGATGCTGCACGGCAGAAGCGACAGCATCCTCAGCTCTCAGCAGAGACTGACACCAGCTCTGACCTCCAAAACCTGCAACAGAAAAAGGAACCAGCAGACTGTCATTTAGCAAGACCCACAGTTCCTGGAAATCCAAACTTTCTTCTTTGTCTTCTGATGGAAACAAAGGGATTCAGATCAGTAGTTCACCACTTTTACAAAGTCTGTAATTAGTCGCAAATAACAACACTCTTTGGTTTTTTTGTGAAGTGGGGCTGTTTTAACTGTTTGGTTTCCTATGGCTAGATCAGTAGAACTGGGTCACTCAGATGAGATCAACAGATTATGACTCTCAATCAGCCTCTTGTAAAAATCCGATGCAAAAGACAACGCAATGCAGACAGTACCTTAGAAAAGATGTAACAGTTATTAAAATGCATTGTCAACCTAAAATAACAGTATTAATACTGCAAAGTAATAACTGAATCCGATTATTAAAAATAAGGCATTATTGACTGGAAAAGACCCAAGTTAAACAACAAAAAAAATTACTGCAATGGCAGACCAACAGTCCCTGAGGTTTATTTATTCCTGTTACGCTCAGCTCTCCCACAGAAGACAGCTTGAGATATTTGACCTCTGTTATATTTTTCTTTCTTCTCAACTCTGGACACCCAAATGCTGAAGTGAAAGCACTTGTAAGGCCACAAACAGTCCACAGGGGACTAACGAAGAATTTCGCTGGCATGCACACTGTACTGGGATCCTTAATCCCAAAGCCAAAGGACATGCTGGAGGTGAGGTTGGGGCTGCATCAAATACCGTATTTTGAACCACAGGAGAAAGTTGCTGCATCAATGCTGTTTAAATTATCCAAAATCAAAAGGGTTTGCAGACACCTCCCTTATTTTCCTTTGGCTGCATGCTTAAGATGCAGTTCCTGGATTGTAAAGAATGGGAACTCCAGATTTTTGCATTTAAACTTTGGAGGAAAAAACAAGGCGATTAGATACAAAATTAAAACTGAAGCTAAAATTATTACTTCAGAAAGTCAGCAGTATAAAAAAAATAAGTAACACCACTTTTACTATGACAAAAATTTATAAGCATTTTCTGGGATGTCCTTTTTAAAAGAGCATGCAGAAGTTTCACAGAGTTAAATCCCTCTCTGAAAAGTCATTCAAGGTCTGTAAGTTTTCAGAATTTAAAGGGAATCCAAATTACTCATAAATCTTGCCTACAACTCAAGGCAGACTTAAGATTATTTAAAAAAAAAACAAACAAAAACCCCACAGCCCCAAAAAACAAGAAAAAAAGAAATCACACCCAACCCAGGAAAAACAGTATTTATCTCTTTTCAGATATTAACAGCTTCTGCAGTGCAATTTAACATCATAATGTTCCTGTTGTCAGAGTTACAAAGCACATAGGATTTACAACATGACAGAATTACTGTTAAAGTCAGACCAAAAGCGCATTTTACCTTCTTCATTTATTTGCTTTTGATAGATTGCTCTTTTTATCTTCCAAGTAATATGTCAGTGTGTGCTTGTATCATTACTGTATATGAAAATACCGTACACAGGAAATAAAACCACCTGTTGTCGGAGCGCTTCCAGGCATTTCTCTTTTTCCTTTTCTTCATATGCTTCTTGAAGGGCCAGTTCCTTTTTCTCCAGCAACCGTTTTTCTAGTAATGCTTGTCTAAACTTTACCCTGCAAAACAGCATACATACAAATGGGAAAAAACATTGGTCAAGTGTAATTTTAAATTTCTGTTATGATATTTCAGTTTGAAAACTAGTCTGATGTTTTCCATATCTCCCTAATAATAATATGGTGGTTCATCTAAACACCTGAAAAATGCAAAATAGGCTTTTTCATTGGAAAATGTAATTTGGGGTTTTTTGTGGGGGGAGAAGGGGTGCTTAGGGAGTTGTATTTTTATCTGCTCTGGAGTTTTTGTTTGTTTCTCCTAAATGACTTGGCTAACCTTTTAGAATTCATTGCTAGAATGCAGATTTTTCTCTAGCATCCTTTATATAGCCCTGCTACTCTTTTTTTTCTTCCTCCCCATTTTCTCTGCCAAGAAGAAATGTTCTCTGATATCTGTGTATGGCAGAACTCCTTCCTGTAACCCTTTCCATTAAAAGAAACACATCACTCCCCATCTTCTTACTGGAAGAAGCAAGAAAAATTGAGAATTAGATCCTTCCTCAAAAGGAAAAAAACCATGAGGTTAGCGCAAATAATCCTGAAACATCACCTGTGGCATTATTTTTGCTGGCCAACTTCTCCCAACAGGTGTCTGCAGCCCCGACAGCAGCACCAGGACTGTCTGCCCGTGAAACCCTCAGCCTGCTGCCAAGCCCTGTTCCTGACGAAGCCGAGGTCTGGCACTTCTACTCCTTACAGAGGAGCTGCCACGGCCATGCTCTGCTCTCAGAGAACTATCCTTCTGCCCTTCGAATTTTAGGTTGCCGTTAGAGAAATGGAGAAGAGTTGCTTCAGCTACAGTAAAACCTGTGGGTTTATTCTCTTACTCTCGAAATTGTAGCCAGCTCAAAGGAATGTGTAACTTTTCCTACAAATTGCAAAAATCAGAACGAATGTGCAGTTGTGCTGGTAGCTAGAAAAGACCAATGCATCAGTAATCCAGTAACAATTACCAGGACAAACAAATTTGTCCCAAGAGAGTGGTACAAAGTCGCCTGAGGACACCCCAGAAAGGCTTTTGGTTTCTTACTGTAGCCTTTATAGTTTAGGCAGGTAAATGCTTGCAATAGTAATCGTAAGAGGTAACTTTGTTCCAGGCAGAAAACCAAATCCTCTTTTTACATGAAGGAAATTTAATAAAAAGATATTAATATATTTCTAAAAAATGGCAAAAACTATATTGAAAACCTTTCCCTCTGCTTGAGCTGACTACTGTGACACATGCGTTAACAAATATGAAATTCAGTAGCCTGGAAACTCGTGTAAATTACCAAAGAAGGAAAACGGAGGGGCACTCATCCAGCTCTGATCTGCAGTGCTTTGTCTCTGCTGCAGAACCTTGCAGGTACCTGGGAACAAAGGCATTGCCCACGGGAAGCTTTTCTGGCATTTCCCCACCCGGTCTGAGCCGGGGGCTGCGGGCCGGCCGGGACAGAGCGAGGCCGCAGCACCGTGACGCCGCACTGGGTGCCCCGCAGGAGGAGGTTTGGGCTCCCCTGAGGAGGGGATCACTCACTCACGCTGGAGAGACCGAGGCTGCTAGTAACAAACATTTAGTTTCACTGCCAGAGGGCAACGGCAGAGCTATGAAAGCTGTGCTCAGGGAAGGCAGAAAACCTTGTAAATACAGATTCAACCCTACGTTGTGTTCCTCATTTGGAACATTCTTCCAATACTTTTTATGCTCAGCTTTAAACGTTCACTTGAGCTTTGATTTTGCAGCATTCACATGCAAACACAGTTGTTAATTCTCTTTCACTCTATAATACTTAGTAATATTTTAGCTACTATTTCTTCAAAGTAAACCTAACTTGACAAAAAAGCTTAAATTTAAAATGCCGTAATACTCTATTTTGACTTTAAATATGACAGTAAGGAAGAACTTTAATAAATCACCAGCTGAAGAATGAGCTCAGCTGACTAGTTTCAGTAAAGCTACCTTTTTGAAGTACTGCGGGTACACACTTATGTAACTCTTGATAAGCGTAATTTCATTAAAACTCTGCTTTCAGACACTGCCTCATAAATATTCAATAGGAAATAACAATCTACTATGTTCATTACAAAAACTTTCGCAAAACTTTAAAAAATTGGGTTATAACACAGATGGGTTTTTTGCCCTATAATCACAACTTCCGCTCGCTGCTGTCTGGTGACTAATCTCGGGCAGCAGGAAGAGCCATCTCCACGGCAAAGAAGGTCTGCGTGTGTCCCTGCCTGCGCCAGGCTGGACTGATGCGCAGCATCACTCAGGCTCGAGGAGCTGGGACGGCAAGTGCTTCACACACAAAGGTGAACGTTGCAGAAGCAGCCTCTGGTTCCCAGGACAGAACTGAAGGGTCACATCCTTTGCTAATCTACACCACAACTGCAGTCGAAGAGCTGTGGCTACGCTGAGGTGTGGAGCCCAACCCAGCCCTCCGCTCTATAGACATTCTTAAACGAGGCAAAGCTGCAGCAAGCATCGGCTCCACCGACTGCCTTCTCGTTTGCCCAGTGCTGTGAACAGCTCTAATACCCAACTACTCGTCCGCAGCCTCTCTGCATTCTTTCTGCTCTGAGCCCTGCAGCATGGAGCACTGGCCAGAGAGAGCGGGCAGGTCTGGGGGCAGCTGGTGAGAGCTGTGCCTTAGGGAGGGGAAAGTCTTGAGGGGGTGAGAGGGGCAAGGGGGAGGCAAACCCTGCAGGAGAGGAGGCTGAGGGGTGACCTCATCAATGTTGATAAATATGTCAAGGGGGAGTGTAAGGAGGATGGAGCAAGGCTCTTCTCAGGGATGTCCAGTGACAGGACAAGGGGCAACAGATGCCAGCTGGAGCACAGGAGGTTCCACAAAAACATTAGGAAAAGCTTTTTCTCTGTGAGGGTGCTAGAGTTTCCGCTGAGAGGGTGCTAGAGCCCTGCCACAGGCTGCCCAGGGAGGTTGTGGAGTCTCCTGCTCTGGAGACGTTTGCAACCTGCCTGGACGCGTTCCTGTGTGACCTGCTCTGTGTGACCCTGCTCTGGCAGGGGGTTGGGTTAGATGATCTCTAGAGGTACCTTCCAACCCAGAACATTCTGTGAGTCTGTGACGCCCGACCAGGAGCTGCTGCCAAGAGCACAAGGGAAGGGAGATGTGATGCGTGAGCACCTTCACCCTGGCACCGACAGAGCCGTGTGGCAAACAGCTGCAGGGGCAGACACAGCCCTGGCTGAGAGCAGCCCTCTCCGGCCGCTGCTCCCACCCCTGCCCTCACTGCTCAGGGCCAGGCCTGGCGGCAGGACAGGGCTGGGCTGAGATGCTCACCAACCTTTCCCACTCACTGCCTCGCTGGGGAACGCGATGTGCCAATCTATTTCTAACAGCTAGTGAGTGAAAATATTTGCACTATTTCATGCCAATATAACTCCCACCCTGCAACATTAATGCAAAATCTATTGCTTTGGGGGGGAGGGATGTTCTTTTAGAATATTTTATGTACATTCAATCCACTCCATACTTAAGGGACCTGATGGAGGACCTGACTGAAATCACTGCATAGATTAAAAATGGGAGAAGTGGGCTGTTAGCAACAGACAAATCTGTCCTTTTGGAAGCTATTTCATGAAGCACAGTAAGACAGAAATGCAGTTTGTAGCTCTTGATATTGCACCAAAAGGGAGCATTTAGGAGCATGGATAAAGGATCGACAGCAGAAGACATACACTCATGTTTATGTCTCTACTCTCAGTGGGCCACACACAACTCTAGCTGGCCAACACTAACTTCTGACGCCCAGAGCAGTCCCAGCAGGTATCCCGGCTTAACGGGTCACGTCCTGCCAAACGCCAGCACGGAGAACACACACCACTTACCTACCACCTGCTGGGTTTTGGAAGCATTTCTGGAGCTGTCATCTACTAAATCTTTAATTTTTATTTTAAAAGAAAAAGATCACAACTCTCTGCTTTCTTTTTCAAATGTGCCCAGTCCAGACCTTTTACGATACACACCAGCAACCAGAGCTCTTGTCCAGATGGCTTCAGTCTCAGGTTCACGGCCTGAAGGAGTTCAAATCTGCACTTTCTGCATTATCAGCAAGAATATACAATAAGATCTCCACCCCTGTTTTAATACCTGGACTGCTATCAGCAAACAAAGTGAATGGGAGCAGAAGAAAGCAGAAAAGGAGTATGACTTTTTGCCTACTTGTTGTTGGGGCATTGGCAGGATCTGGGCATCAGACCTAGGTTCTTACCCCAGTCCCTGTGGGGTTTTTAAGCACTATTTTAACAGATTTTGTTAGATAAGAAATTAATACATTCCAGTCCTTTTCCCCTCTCCCATGTTTCTGAACACAGGCAGCAGTGCTTATTAGGATTTTGTGCTGAATTAGCTACTCTTGCTGTCTTTTACTTGATCGACATCTACAGGAACTTAAGCACTTCAACCCATCAGCTTTAGGCAGGTGCTGGGTACCAGCTGCTCTGAAGACAACACTTCTAAGACACATGCAGCATAAAACTGCGGCTACCTAGGAACTTCTAGGCCAAAAAAATGAAATGTTCAATCAGTTAAATGTCTCTGCTGTCAGACGATCACTAAGCAGAGTGGTAGAAAGCAAATTTGAACCTAGTCACTTGAAATTCTCCATCCAGTTTCAGGTGCCTTTAATCCTGTTCTTGGATCTGGTCACAGCTCTGGCTATTCAGCATCTCGCAATTACAAAGTGAGATTTGAATAAACAGAGCACCACAGTGACTCTGTGATTATAATTTTCTTTTTTATAAACCTGATTGCTTAATTTTAAAAGCAATTCAGGATTACAGCAGACCATCTTTTAATGTCTTACTGTACTTCTTAGAAAATCAATGCACCATCCAGAGCATATTTTGTGCTTAGAATAGTCAGTCAGGTCACAATCCAAAAGCCTTTTTCCTTCCCCAAAATTGAAAACATGTCCGATCAGAACTACAGCACTGCCTGTGCTACCCTGCATGATCTGTCCTGCAAAGAGTTGAAACCAATTTACGTGCTGTAACCAGAGGAACACGTAAGAATACTGTTAGTTTGTACAGGACTGCCCTATGAAATCAGTCTGAAATCAGTGCGCCTACCCTAAGTTCAGCAGAACCCATCTGAACATGCCTTACACCATACTTGCAGGACTGCAGTGCCTAGTAACAGCAGCATCCCGCTGCCCTTCTTTGATTAATGTTTCTGAAGGCTTTGAAGATGAGAAACATTAAGTAATTCCAAAGAATTATTAAATCTTCACAAACAGTAAGCATTTTCCTTTAAACTGTTTTATTTTGTGCAGTATGCCAATTCTGGGAAACATAAGCATTTACCAACGCTGGATTCATAACAGCCCCAAGGTGTGATTGTTTCCTCCCTGCATTCCTAAACAAAGGGTGCCATTTCCTTATATTTTATTCCACAATCTTTATTAGCATAAGAAAAGAATATCCCCCCAACTGTATGGCATAGCACAGGGCATGGGTTTAAAGAAAAATCATTTTTTCCTGAACAGTTTTGCTAAAAATTTGGTAACTCAAGTATGTGCATTTTGTTTGCTATGAGCTAAAACCCCTGCAAGTGTGTTTAAGGAAAGGCATGTATTTGCAGCACAAGGATAGGGACATTTAAATTTAACCGTCAGCAAAGTATTGTAACAAAATTATATCGAAGCAGTGCTTCCCACAGAACGCTTAAAACCAAGTTTAATATTCTAATGCCAAGGGTACTTTAACCCTATTCTAATTAATTTCTGGTTCGTGCAATTTAGTGGCTCTATCAATGTAAAAAAGTATGCCTGTGATTGGAGAACAATTATAACCAGACTACATACAGGGGTTTTTATGCTCCTCTGTGACAGAGGAACTCCTCTCTGAACTCAAGTGTTTCTTCAACAGGTTGTTAAAGGCCATATTCTGCAACAATGACTTGGCAAGGATTCAAATGTCAACAGGCTGAAGTCCTAAATTACATCAAACAGGTGAAAAGCATCTCCAAGTAGATGTGCAATTTAAGACCCTCTAAAAGAACAGTAAGTATCATTGAGGCTATTAAGTGCTTCATGTGCTCCTCTTACTTGCCTCTCAAACAGAACAAACCTGGTTGTAAATAATTTTGCAAAGTGGAAATGTAGGTCTTATTACCCAGCTACAATTAAAAATCACGAAGGGAGCTGGTTTTAATGCACGTACCCTATCACGATTACAACAGTTGAGCGTTTACTAAGGTCGAAAACTTCGATGAACACAAATTCAAAATTACAAATGAATGGCATCCAGGACACCGTCGTGATGTGACCTTGGCATATAGACTGGGGTGACTGCCAAGCAGGAAGAAAAAATTATTACTTATCTCAATTTATTTTAATTTAGCAAGCTGGAAGACCAAAGCAAATTAGATTGATACTATAGGTATTCACATTTAATTTCTTTTACCTTTCTCTGTCTTTAACTGCTTGTTCAGCCATTAATTTTCTTAATTCCTCCAGACGTTGTAGATCTTGCTCTTCCTGTTCTCGCCACTTGAGCTGTTTCTCAGCCCAGTACTTTTTCACCTAGAGTTTGAACAAATACAGTAAACAAAATAACAATCCCATTCCATGTGCAGGTACCAGAAGAGAAAGAGGAGCTGGAACACAGAAATAGTGACATACCCTGATGTACTTCCAAATTAGAAACCAAAAGGACAGCCAGAGAATGGCACAGTGCCTCACCCCCCTTAGGGCTCCCTGAGAAACCCCTTAACTCCTTCGACCTAACAGACTTCGTGGCAACTGCTATGACAAACAGAAAGAGAAAAGCTATAACATTCACTAAAACATATTGCTTCCAGGAAAACAAAGACAGTGCTCACCTTGAAAACCAAGACTGAGTTTTTTAAAAGATTATTTATGATGACAGAAGTGTATGACAATGCTGCCACTTGTAACTCACCGAAAAAACAGCATTGTGTTTCTAAAGTTTAAAATACAGCTGGAAAAACAGAGAATAGAAGTTTCAGAAGAAGATGCAAAAAGCTAAGAAAATCTTAAGAACTGTAATAATCTAAGAAGACATGAATTACAAAAGCAACTGAATTCCTCAAAAACCTATTGATGAATAACATCCCTGTGAAGGTCCGAGACCTCATCCTACCTCCCAAAATATAGGTAATTTCTTTTGATGGAATTTACTTACGGAATCATCTCAAATAGGAAAAGCTTCATAAAATGGTAATAAAAATAACTTCTACATCACCCACTGAACTATGCTGAATTTAAGCCTCTCGGAAATTTCAGTTGAAACAGCAGTCAAAACATCATCCTCTGCATATGACTGGCTTTGTGTAGAAAAATCTTTAACTGCCACAATTCAGAATAAAACAGGTCTTCCAAACAGTGCTTATGTTTCTGAATTCCCAGACTAGAAGCCAATCATTTCTTTATACCAGCCCTTTTTCACACAAGAAGGACATGAAAACAGCGACAGCTATAACCATATTTCTTGGAATGATTTTATTTAATATTATTTGAAACACCTGTATTTATGAAATAAAACTCTCCTTTGCAATTATTGCCCTTCTGTATTCCACATTGCCTGGAGGCTTTCTCATAAACTCTATGTAGGGGCCAGGGGATATTGCTGAAATTCCATATTTAAATATATCAGCAAACACCTGATTCGCAGTCAAACAGAGCAAATGTAGCACTGCTATTTAAGATTTAATGTCATTTTGCCCATCCCTAGGTTTGGAAGTACTTGCCACACGCAGCCTAGGTTACAGGCTGGGCTGTGCGTGAGCGTTGCTCTTATGCGGATCACAGATAATTTACCTGTTCTTGCTGCCACGCAGGCAGAACACTGGCCAGGAAAGGAGCTGCAGTGTGGGGTCAGCAGTCCTTTTTAAGGGTCACAGAACGGTCGGGGTTGGAAAAGATCTGGAGATCTTTAGAGATCCCCCAGTGCCACCCCCTGCCAGAGCAGGGTCACCCAGGGCAGCCACACAGGAACGCGTCCAGGCGGGTTTGAAAGTCTCCTGAGCAGGAGACTCCACACCCTCCCTGGGCACATCGAACATGCAACAGACTCCAACGAAACCCACGGCTGCTGGGCTCAGAGAGCCCACAGAGGATGAGCTTACACAGACTTCACACACGGGCCGGAGAAGAGGGAAGCTGGCACAACCGAGACATGCAGACGAAAGGAGCGGTGCTGGCGGTTGGGCCAGTGCAGCCTCCGCCTGCTGCTGCCTCCCTGGAGGTGTCAGAGCACCTGCCTCTATCAGCGCAGCCTCAGGAAAGACAAAAAGCAGAACAAGCTGTAACAACAAGAAAAGCAGCGGCAAAGTTTCTCATATTAAATAACGGGCTGCTCCTCTCCCTGCACCTCGGCTTCCAGTGCTGATGGAGAAACCAGACCTCTCACAATCACACACTCCAGCTGAGCCCATTTGTGCATCCTCCACACCAGCCAAGGTTACAGCGCATCTAGGTAAGAGTTTTCAGGGTGAGAAGATGAATGCAGACACCAAATGTAGACGTTCTCCCTTAATTTGTTACATTCTAATTTTAAATCCAGCATGTAAGACCAGTAACAACACATCAGCTACCGACAAATACCAGGAAACACACAAGCACGAAAAAAGCCCCAAACCGCTCACATATACCAAAACTTTTGTAATACGATGTGCGTTCACACAATCTTTAAAAATTCCTGTGTCTTCTTATAGATGTTTATATCTAAAACGTTCCCCACCAATACCTACAACAAGCCAATTAAAGGTAAAGCCAATACTGATTTAAATTTAACCAGGACTTCTCTGAAAGCACATGGTTGGCAAACACATACATATGGCTTTCCCAGCTTTTGAACCTGAAACGTCAGTCTCAAATATTAAGGATATATTTAAGGATATATAAAACAAATTAAAATAAGGATAAAACCATGTGTTACCTGCTTAGACCTCACAACTGAGCAGGAGATTGGACTAGAGACCTCTTGAGATCCCTCCAAATCTGAACTTCTCTGATTTAGAATAGAAGCATAGAATCGTAGAGTTGTCAGGGTTGGAAG